GCATGACTGTAATCAATGGCGGTTCCTTCAGCAGACACCAAATATTGTCAACGTAATCACAACGGACGTTCACCGCCTACCTCGTCCAGCAACTTATACAGGAACAGCCCCCCGTCTTCTGAAAGTGACATTCCTCACCGCTAGCATGGCAACCGATGCACTCACCATCTGGTATGCTAATAAAAGACGAGCGCCACCAGATATCCGGCTGCGTGCAGATGGGCACCCGGTGCCGAGGCGCACAGCTTCCCACAGACCCCTGGTAGCAGCAGCAGCAAACTCGGTACCGACACACTCTGACCAGATCGTCCTCAGTCGGTCCACCACCGAACCACCTGCCTCACTGCCTGGAGAACTTCACTCACCTACACATTCCAACCTTCAGAATTTCAACGACCCAGCCGCCAGCACCTATCTGGTCTCCGACGACCCACACCTTGTTTCTCCAACTACAAACCTTAGCGGCTCCACCCCCCTAAACCAAAAAAACGGTGCACTGCCGGTCATCTGCTGACCGGCAGCACCCTAGTTACTCCCGCGCTCATCACCCAAACGGGCCTCATCTGTATCTACACGAACGCACAGGGCCTCATGTCCAAACTTCCGGAGCTCCAATTCCGACTTTTATCAACACCAGCGGACCTAATAGCCATACATTTCACAATGACGCAGTCCTCAGCCTCCAACATCGAACCTGTGCAACTGATTTTACTATGAAGAATGCTTTAGTGGAGTACCGATCATCCCGGCTTCGTAATGGTCATTGATTGCACTAAACCTTGTTCGGGCTCCTGTGCTCATGGATCACTACATGTCAAACTTACCCCCACTTGTATCTTGACGCAACAGTTTTTGCGCGCCAAGGCGCCATTATGATCCTTGGTCTGACTATTACCTGACAATATGCTCGCTCTTATGGACTACATCTTTTCGTTTATTCCTTTCATTGTAACGAAATGTTTTAATATTTCAAAGAAGCTGTGCTTGTATGCATATTTGATCATGCCTTTTAGAGGTGTGTCTCGTTTTACAGAGAATATACTATTTACTTATTTATTTATTTATAACGGAAACGTGGCTCTCCGGCGATATAACCGACGGTGAAAGCCAACTTCCTCACATGTCAGTTCTCCGCTCTGACCGCGCAACCCCAGGTGGCGGTGTCGCACTGTACTATGACATCTCCCTCAGCTGCAGCATGTTGTCAAACACCTCCCTCCAGGCTCCAGACACCATGTGGTGTGAGGTCGTACTAACCGCCAAACACTCCAGCTGTCTTGGTATCAATTACCGCCCCCAAACAACTCTCCCGAGAAGGATGCACGACTACTGCACGACGTCCACCTTATGATATCCCACAAGCGCACACACTTTCTTATCATGGGTGATTTCAATCTGCCCCGTCTATTTCACTCTATCCCGTCTACTAACTCCTTTGCATCAGGCCTCATTGATCTTCTTCACACGGCCCCGTTGTACAACCACACGTATCAACCGACCAGATTCCGATCCAACAACCAACCGTTCCTGCTAGATCTCGTCCTCACTAACGAAGAACTGATGGTTGAGCACGTTGAGTATGATGCCCCTTTGGGGCTTAGTGACCACTGCGTCCTCCGTTTCGATTTTATATGCTTCGCCGAAAAACTCGTCAGCACGCCAACTTATACCAAACGCTGGACTGATTACGAAAAGTTGAACATTCTCATTTCCGCCAACAACTGGTCACCCGAGCCCCAATCGAGCGCCGACAGCTAGTGGTCAAGCTTTTGCCTTACTCTACGTGAACTCTGCTCCACTACGGCGACGTGCAAAGAAGTTTCCATAGGAAAGAGACGCCCAGCACTCATCCGAAGTCGTACACGGAAATGGATTGCCTCCAGGAACACGGCATGGAGAAACTATCGCTCCCATCCAACGGCCACTCAGTGGGAATATTACCGATCCATCCGTAGCCAATGCGTCCATCTTGTACGAGAAGATAAGAGTGAGCACCAGCGTCAACTTATGCGTAAATTTTCATTCAATCCCAAAGCCTTGTATAGACACGTCAATAGTCTTCGACAAGTCAAACACGGTGTCACCGCATTGGCGACCCCACAGGGCTCACGAAATCAGCTACCGAGGCAGCAGAAGTCCTGTGCAAGCAGTACGCATCCACATTCTCCGTTCCATCACTGCACACAACGACGGTACCTTATTCGGTTTCACTCTCAACTTCTCTGACGACTGTTCATTTCACTCCGGAGAAGGTCCTGGCGAAACTCAAGTCCCTGCGGCTAACGTCCTCTCCTGGCGCTGATGGTTTCCACCCACGGCTCTTGCGAGCGTGCGCTGCAGCTCTAGCTTTACCTCTAGCGGAGCTGTTCACCCTCTTCTTCTTGCAAAGCAAAGTTCCCAATGATTGGAAATGTGGGACTATTACACCAATCTACAAAGGCGGTACTCGCAAAGATCCGGCCAATTACTGACCGATAACTCTCCTATCTACGATCTCCAAAGTGATGGAATCGATCGTCGTAGACGCTTTAACGGATCACATGGAGACCAAGAAACTGCTCTCTGATTGCCAGCACAGTTTCCGGCGTCAACGGTCTTGCCTGAGTAACCTGCTACTTGCCAGGGACAGCTGGACGACTGCAGCCGACTCTGGCCAAGAAACGCATGTTATCTTGCTGGATTTCGCCAAAGCCTTCGACAAGGTCGACCACAAGATTCTGCTGCGGAAACTGTCATCTTACGGCGTTTCAGGGGACTTGATGGACTGGATCCGGAACTACCTCCAAAACCGTACCTTCCAAGTACGCGTCGACGGAGCGTTGTCTCCCCGCATCCTTGCCACAAGCGGAGTTCCACAGGGGTCTGTTCTCGAACCGCACCTCTTCCTAGCCTTCATTGAGGACGTCACACCGCAAGTGGAGTCTTCGCTGCTACTATACGCGGATGACGCCAAGCTGTGGCGCACAAGTAACCTTCCGGACGATGCCCACACACTTCAGACGGACCTCGACCGTCTACATCAGTGGTCCATAGAAAATAACCTTCCATTTAACGTTACGAAATGTCGCGTCCTTTCTACCCGCCCTTCCGCTTTTTCTCCTGTATATTACCTGGGAGCGTCTATCCTCCAGATTTCTTCAGCAGAAAGAGACTTGGGTATCATTACCCAGACGAGTCTTTCCGTATCCGCTTCCTGCCGGAAAGCAGCTGCTGCTGCTAACCGCATGGTGAGATTGCTGAAACGAGCCTTCGGTCAAATTGACCCCAGCAATTTCCGCCTCCTCCTTAACGCTTTTCTCCGACCCCACTTGGAGTTCGCTATTCAGGCTTGGAGCCCTTGGTTGTTGAAGGACCAACGCATACTCGAAGCCCCACAACGTCGAGCAACCAAACTGGTTCGAGGTCTCAAGCACCTAGATTATCCACAACGACTTCAGTGCCTGGGCCTCTACTCGCTTAAGTACCGACGTCTACGGCGCGACCTGATCCTCGTATTCATGATCTTATCCAACCATGGACATCCCTGTCGCCACCTACTCACACTGCACCAATCGGGCTCCCACCTACGTGGCCACCCACTGAGGCTCACACATCAGCACAGTCGGCTGAACTGCAGACGACACTACTTCTCTTTGCGAATCTGCCGACCGTGGAATGCTCTGCCTGCCGATTTAGTCTTGGCACCCACTGTAGCGGACTTTAAGGCCCGCTTGGACTGTCATCTGGCCGAGCTACACCGCGATATTCCCTAATTTAACTACACTCTACTGGATGGAATTTCTTTTTTTCTTCCACCTTCCTTTCCAAAGCCGGTTCGGAGGGCGTTGTGGGATGTCTCGCTTTGTGCCGGCGTGCATTCTGTTTAAATGCCACATAAGCCCGATGAAGATACGGCTAACACTCGAGTCCAACCCGCTATAAGGTTGCTTGGCCTTTCATTAAACCCGACCCGTATACTTTTTACAATATGGGTCGTGTAAAGCTCCAGCTTTTATTCCCATTAAATACAAGGTTCCAATGTTCCTTGGCATTTTATGATCATTTATGGAAAAAAGCCGCATACCATATTTAACGTTTAACAGAAATTAGCAGTAATAAAAGCCCAGCATCCACTTGTTTACCGCGCACATAAAACTGCTCGCAGGGTAGACAATTTTTATCAGTTACCTGCAATGAACTTGGGTCTAAAATTCCGGTAATACAATAAGTCAAAATAAGTTTGTGTTGAAGTGCTTAGAACGCATGCAAGTAACCTGAGAAACTGCGGAAATATTTACAATTCACTGAAATTTTTGCACCGAAAATTTCTTAATGACGACAGAAGTATCCTTGTTTAGCTGCCCTCTTCAACCTTGCACTCCACTGGTTTGGAAGGTAGGATTGGACCGGACCCGCGATACCTGTACATGAATTGCCCATCATAGTACAGCAGAATAGCATGTAGAAAGACGATTTAAGGATAATGATTTATTAGAAAACATCTTCCACTGCCTCGAACCACTGTATTAGTGCACGCACATTTTATATTTGACATTCTATATGGATACTACTAATGAATTATTATTTGATAACGAACTATGTAAATGACTGGAACGACTTGCCGAAACATGGGGTTGACGTGCAGACTGTGGAATGTTTCAAGCCATTTTTAGATTCTTACTTAATGTGAAGGCTGCGACTTTGCTTCTTTAAATGTAGCTGTTATGGTCCCTTGTGGAACATTGTCCCGTAGCGACTCACGGTAATTGAAGGTGCTGACAAAGGACTTTTCTTCTGCACTCTACAATCCAATTAACTAAATTTATTATTTAGTAGAGCGTGCATACCTATAAATATTATGCCTACATAAGATACATAAGCGTTAAATATGTAATTACTTTGTTCCGAGCTCTAAATAGGGTTCATAAATATTTATTTATTTATTTATTTGAAATTGAAATACATGCATAGCTTCAAAGACATACACTACTACCTACGTTATTAATATACACTTTGTGCCGTTGCCTTTGTTATTCGCAGCCACCCCAGTAAATTCGGGTTCACTTTGCTCCTCGCTTACCCTGTGTTTCTTGCCATCGCGCAATGAGGTTTGTTCCGTCGTTGTTCTTTATTTCGTTTGCTTCTGTCCACATCTGTCTTACCGCGTACTTTTTTCTTTAGCAATCTCAGACCACAGAAGCGGCTAGCGGCTGCTGTTTTGGGCTGTGGCAAGAAGAAAGTATGGCTGGATCCTAATGAAGGCTCCTCTCTTGCCAATGCCAATTCCAGAAAAATGATCCGGAAACTTTTCAAAGACAGTTTGATCATTAGAAAGCCTGTGACAGTCCACTCTCGTTCACGTTGTCGAGCAAATCTTTTGGCTCGTCGAAAGGGAAGGCACACCGGCCCTGGTAAGCGAAAGGGCACGGCGAATGCCCGCATGCCACAAAAGGTGTTGTGGATGCGCCGCATGCGTGTTCTTCGCCGCCTTCTAAAGCGCTACCGTGAGGCTCATAAGATTGACAAGCACTTGTAAGTTGTGTTCTCTAACCGTCCTATCATTCAAGATACCATCTACTCTACCAGCAGTGCAAAGGCAATCAGTTTCGCAACAAGCGGGTTCTGATCGAACACATCCACAAGAAGAAGGCTGAACGGCTTCGTGCGAAGCAACTGAGCGACCAAGCCGAGGCTCTAAGACAACGCAAGAAAGAGGCCCGCTTACGGCGCGACAAAAGGAAAGAGGAAAAGAAGAAATTGCTTTTGGAAGGATTGGCTTCAACTGAGACGTTTACGGTTAGTGCGCCTAAGGGAACACCTGCCGCAACAATTGTCAACAAAGCGGCAACTCCTGCTGCAGCTCCCGAGCCAAAGCCGAAGGCTGACGCACAAGTTCCCGAAGTAGTCACACCTGTTGCACCTATAAAACTCAGCACACCAACTGAACCCAAGGAAGAAGTAAAAGTATCCGCGCCGCCTGCTGCTAAGCCATCTGGAGGACCTAAAGTACCTCCTCCACCGAAAATACCGACCACTTCGAAAACCCCTGCTCCTCCCCCTAAAGTTCCCGCACCAAGCACTGCTAAAACCCCGGGCAGTAAAAAGCCTTCTAAGCGTTAGTGCTCAACTTTGAATAAATGTTTTCAAGATTGGAAGCTTTTTGACTTGTTCTGCTGTGCTGTTTTCTATGCACCAGCATGTGTTGGCAGGTTTACGCACTAAATTCCAGGATTACACTCTCCCTGTTCACATAAGGCTTACTACCAATTTCACTTCAGTTCTTTTGCCCGGTACAGATATCGTGTAGCGTTTCTAATAATTGTCTGGCTTCTATGCTATGTATAGTAGACTAACTGCGTCCATTTCCTGCAGTTTTTACTGTTTCTAGTCCCTTTACTGTTGCGCGCTCGCTTTTTAGTTCACCCGATGACAGCAAACTGCTAAGTCACTACTCGGTCTACTGCGGCTTTTATTTCGCACACCGGTCAACAGACTGCCTACACGCGTGCTTATTATCCGTAGTGTTGACTTGTCTAGCGTCTATAAAACCAGGATTCTCGGTGCCTGGTTTTCGGGTTGACTACCCAGCTTACGTTCTCGCAACGGGCTGCACACGCCCTGTGGTGTCGGTGCAGCACTCTCAAGGTTACATGGGGTAAGTGTCTTTCTCGCTTTTCGAGCTGACAGGATTCAGAGACGAAGAAGCTTTCGCTTAACAAGCGTTTTTCGTGTGCCAGCAAACAAACAGTTGCCAGTACTTTGACGCGTTTATACTGGAAAGAGGTGTAAGTACAAAACAACTATAGCGTTTTCACGATTTTGCATACGCTATTTGCATGTTGTTAGAGGCTGTGATTTCTCGCTGGAATTCGGAGGGACAGGGACAACCAGTTTTCGTCTAAACTATTTAAAGTCCCCTACCGTCTTACTTTTTGATGATGCAGGAGTTTAGTCCAGCTAGGCACTACACGATTTGAGGAGAACATATCACTTACATCGAGCCTAGATGTTTACTCTTTCAACTTGAGGCAATGGCCCCGCAAGTGGTCTGATGTAGCTGGTTCAGAGACCAGTGGGCCTGAGACTGCAGAGACCCTTTATGATTTTCAATGTCTATTAAATCCCCTTTATCTGCGTCTCCTCATTGAGTACAATCTCAAGTTCCCTTACCAGTTTTCATACGACAGTCGCAACGAGACTGGACCTTAACGTGGTGCGACGGTTTGCGTACCTCATTGACCCATTGAGCTATACTGGGTGATGCCTTCGAGCATCTTGAGAGCTACTCCTACCAGGTTGGTCAATGGTGAGAGGTCAGACAAACTCAGTCTCCTGGTCCTCCAGGTTGGGGGTTTGAAATGGGATGGCGTCCATTTCTGTAAAATTAAATCACTGCCACCCCGCTGCCTTGCGGACAGGCTTTTGAGCCAAAGGCTTTGGATGAGGACCCTAATCGTTCTCCTGTCTAGGTCTGGGCGCCCTGGCAGTATCCCAGCCCACATACAACCATGACATTTTCTTCAAACATAAACTTCATCCTGCATCGGCCGTCGCGCAGATTATCAAGGGTCGCCTTATCTGCTGCATACAGCAGGGCGGATAAGCGAAAACATGCTACTGCTGGCGCCTCCCTTCTTTCTTTTCCACCTTTTTCTCTTACTCCCATCCCGGCCCCCATTACTAACATTCCTTCTATAATTCCCAGCTTAATTGACAGCAACCGAAGTGCTACTGGAGTAGAACCATCTGCAGCCACCATCCCACAGCACCTATCGGACGCCTATCGGCAAAAGTTCCTTATAAGGCCACGCTGTCCTGTTTCCATGGCGACATTCAACGTCCGCACTCTAAGACAAACAGGTCAGCAGGCTGCACTCGCACGCACCTTGGACACACTGGGGGTTGATGTGTGTTGTGTGTCCGAAACTAGGATTAATGACCCTAACGGGGTTATTGAATTGACTGCACCCGGCTTATCCTCTCGTTATTGGTTGCACGCATCCGGAGACGCCGATGCGGCACTCACGGGTCAAGCTGGTGTAAGTATCATTCTCAGCTCCAAGGCTGAGTCATCGTTGGTTGATTGGATTCCGGTGAACAGCCGTTTATGTGCAGCCCGTTTGACGACATCAGCTAAGGTGAATTCGCGAAGTAAAACAAAACGCTGTTTGTTTGTGATTTCTGCTTATGCTCCCACGGACTGCAGTTCTAATGCAGTCAAGGACACTTTCTATCACAAACTGAACACGCTGCTACGCAGTGCTACTAGTTCAGATATTATAGTACTTGCAGGGGATATGAACGCACAAGTAAGGTGTCTGAGCTCTTCAGAAGCTCAGCTGGGTGGTAAGTATGGACCTAACGCCGAACGGACTGACAACGGCGAGCGTCTGCTGCAACTGTGTGCGGAGCACCAGTTGTTTCTTAGTAGCATTGCTTTTAGACACAGTGGGCGCCGAAGTGCCACTTGGCGTCTACCTGCAGCTGGCCAGCGATGGACCCAAATTGACCACATAGCCATAAGTTACAGGTGGCGCGGTTCCATTCTGGATTGCCGCTCGTACTGGAGTACCTGTGTCGACTCTGACCATGCCTTGGTGCGCTGTCGTTTCTCCATGAACTTTACCGGAAGGCGCACAAAGCGTCTCCCCCGATTGGCAACGGAGCAATTGTCCCAGCCATCTGTCAGGCAAGCCTATCAAGAAGCACTGCATAGCGAACTCTCGCTGTCTTGTCCTAATGATACTGAACTTCAGTGGAATAGGATCGCGGCCACTATGCACGACGCAGGAGCATCTGCTTGTGGCATATCAGTCGTCACCGAACCAGTCACTGGATATCCGAGAGGTCGGTGAACCTGTTGGAAGCTAGAAGACACATCCCGGCTGGTTCTGAACACAATGTGACCAGACGGGCTATTAGGCGTGAACTAAAGCGGAGCCTACGTGCTGACAAGGAAGCCTGGTGGAGCAGTCGGGCTCAAGAAATGGAGGAGGCAAGAGCAGTAGGCAATTACCGGAAGCTCTTCCAGCTAATACGCACCACTGGTCCGAGAAAACCAGGCGTCAGTGAGACAATCAGGGACAGCGCGGGTGCGCTGATACACAATAAGGAGCGCCGTATGGCTCGTTGGGCTGAGCACTTTGAACATCAGTTCAGCTGACCCCCTGCTCCCGGACCTCTTCCTACTCAGTTGATGCAGGAGGTACCATGGACGGTTAGTTTAGAGCCTCCGTGGGAGGCCGAGGTCCGAAACGCGATCACAGCCCTCAATCGTTTTTGTGCCGCTGGCCCGGATTCCCTCCCACCTGCACTATTTAAGGATGGAGGTGAGGTCCTCTGCAGGACACTGACCTCCCTATTCGAACGTATCTGGAACGAAGAGAGTGTGCCGGCTAATTGAAGCGAATCGATTATAGTGGCAATATACAAGAAGGGCAGTCGCACAAACTGTGCGAACCACAGGGGTATTAGCCTAACGCCAGTTGTGACAAAATTACTGGCCTCGATTATCGTTCGTCGCCTCACTGCAGAACGGGAATCTCAGATTAGAGAAGAGCAGGCCGGTTTTCGCCCAGGACGTGGCTGTATAGACCATATATTTACTTTGCGGCAGGTGCTAGAGCAGCGCCACGCATACCGCAGACCGACAATAGCTGTGTTCCTCGATTTCAAGAGTGCGTTCGATTCAGTCGATCAATCGATGCTGTTCGAAATACTTGCGCGGAAAGGTGTTCCCACGGAATATGTGAACATCCTTCGTGTTCTATACTCGAACACTAGAGGCCTCGTCAGGGTCTATGGTGTCCTAACGGATAGCTTTTCGACTACAAGTGGCGTTCGACAGGGTTGCCCGATTTCCCCATTTTTGTTCAATTTCGTGGATTCTATCATGGAGTGTTCCCTTGCGGAATCTCACGATGTAGGTGTTGAAGTGCTGCCTGGTGAACGGTTAGTTGATCTAGATTATGCGGACGATATCGTTTTGCTTTTCGACGATGTTGGGGCGGCACAATCAACCCTGAATAGCCTATCCAGATTGGTCCCATTATTTGGTATGCACTTCGCACCTTCAAAGTGCAAAGTGTTGCTGCAGGACCACCAGCCACTCGATGACCCCTTGACGCTTGCTAACGAGGAACTCGAGGTGGTTGATCAATTCACTTATCTTGGCAGCTGCATCAGCAATGATGGGCGCATAGAAACTGACGTGAGCTCACGCATTGCAAAGGCTAGAGCTGCCTTCTTGAACCTGCGTCATCTTTGGCGACAGAAGGGAGTTTCCCTCCGTCTGAAAGGCCGTGTATACAAGGCCACAGTGAGGGCCGTTCTGCTCTATGGTAGTAAAACTTGGCCCCTTCGGTCTGAAGATCTGAGGCGCCTTCAAGTCTTTGATCATCGTTGTTTGCGAAGCATTGCTGGTGTCGGATGGCACCAGCGTGTCCGAAACGATGATGTGCGTAGGCGAGTACTAGGTGGTGATGATCATGCTAGCTCCCTAGAACAACAGATAGCACTGAATAAGTTGCGTTGGCTCGGGCACGTGCTACGCATGCCTGTTCATCGCTTACCTAGGAGGGCCTTGTTCAGTCTACCAGGTGTCGGATGGCGCAAGGCTCGAGGTGGACAGAAGTTGACTTGGCAGCGGGAAATGAAGTCACTGACGACCAAACCGGGTGCCGTTGGTCCGTCTCGCCTTCCGGGTTGGAGTCCATGTGACTCACCTTGTGCTTGGCTTGAGACTTTACAGGACATGGCTCGCAACCGACACCAATGGCGCGTCTGCTGCCGTCTCCTAATCGGATTGTCTGTTTAAAGTGTGTTTGGTGCTGAGTTATCTGCGGGGTAATGGCTGATTATGACGCGTGGCAGTGAAAGCCGCAAGGAAGCTGTCTCGCCGATGCCGCCTTATCTTTGCACGATAGCCAGCTGTTTGTGACGGTATGTTGTCTACACAAGGTGTAGGCGCCTTGACCCTGAATGTTTGCTTAGGGCATTGAGGTTTTCAGGTAAGTCCCCCTTTTTCTCCCTCTTCTTATTCTTTATTTCATAGGTCCTCATGGTTGTATGGCAGCGAAGCATCAGTTCAAATGGCTGATGTACTGCTGTTGATGATGATGATTTCATACGACAACCCCTTCTGGCCTTCTACC